CGTAAGGTGCCTAATAATTAAATTTTCATTTTTTTTGTCACAAAATGCCTAATTGTGGCTTATATATAAGAAATAGACATATGGTATCGCGGACTTTTTTTAGACGGAGTAAAGATCTATATTATTCTAGAACATTGTATTTACGTATCCCGAACCATAACAGCGCTTTTTCTTCTGACTTCCTTAACAAATATAGGCTAGCTGAGATATATAGCCTAATGCTATATAGCCTATACTATTCAACATGAATCTGGCTATAATATTCAAAAAAAGATTTTTCAAATCGGACTGGTAGTCCCAGAGATTAGCACGTTTAAACAAACAAAAACGCTCTTCTGCTTTATTATATTAGTATATAGATGTTGCATCGTGTTCGTGTAACTTCGTTTTTATTCTAACGGTTCGGAACGCCGTACGAACAAGACATGCGTGAATACTAGTGTCGATATGCTCATCACTGATACTATCTCTGTCGGGCACGATGCCAGGTGAGACAGCGTGCTTTTTGGCCGCGCCCACCATCGAGTTCGAGCCCGCGACTTGTGCCACCTTAAGGTGACACTAGTCGACAATATTTCCATTGATTTCCATACAAATTTCGGAGGGGTTTTACTACGCTGTTTGACAGTGTACATCCAAAGTTAAACATGATATCGTTTTGTCTCATTATCAAATTTGTCTGTACGGAAACAGAATAGTAAAATAAAAAGTTTTTAAAAAGTTACGAGCTACCAAAGATTCGTTTTTATTGCCAATTTTAACACAACTTTGGGCGTAAATTAGTAATAAAAGAAGTGTGAAATTTCCAAAACAAAGTCGGTACCGACACAGCTCAATTATCGAATAATTCAAGAAATTTTATTCGTAATTAATTTATGCAGTGGTTTTTTCATAAAACCCCTTCTTCCAAAGGCCTTTTCGTATTTTTTTACGCGCGTATGTTACTATGAATTATCGTGCATCTCACTGAATAATGTTTGCCCCGGTGCGGTGCGGGAGGACGACGCTTACACACACATGCACGGGCGGTGACGCGGGCTTATTCGAGTTTTATTCGAAACGAAAAGTTTTGCTATTTTGTAATTTGGACGCCAAAGACAAAAGACAGCATGGAAATTGATATAATTGAAAGAGATGATGCGTTTTGGACGACAGACAATTTTGTAAAATTTTCGTCTGTAATATAATATAATTATAAAAGAAAAAAAATTAAGTCTATAATATACGATTACTATATAAAATTGCAACAATTTCATTGGTGCCGACGGGGATCGAACCCGGGTTGCTCGCGTAGTGTGATACTTACGGCGAACGATAACCATCTGAGCTACCACGGCTCTCAATGCAAGTGTTATAAATAAATAAAGAATTACAAAACAGTTTAATTATTTATTAGACGACTCTTGCGGCGGACAAACAAGGTATATTATGTGGGATTTTCATAGGTACCTACTGTTATTACCTAGATACCTACAACCTACAATACAACAAAATGTCACAAAACGTCACCGCGTCGTGGCCACAAAATTGTAAACTTTAGGTAGGTACGTCAGTACTAAGAAAACAATCTTGATGGGTCACTTGTCTTGATAAAAACCTGTGTTTACGTTTAGTGATATTGAGTATATATAAAAAAAAGTAAGAAGACAGGTAAGTATTTTTGAAAAAAATTTATAGGTAAGCAGAACTAATTACAATTATTATCTAAATATTATAAATGCGAAAGTTTGGATATTTGGATGGACGAATGAAAGGATGTATGTTATTCAATCACGCCAGAACCGCTGAAGGGACCTGGATGATATTTTGCTCAGAGATAGGTTATAGTCTGGAATTTTATTTTTTTTTTATTTTTTAAAAATACATTACCCCCGCACTAGCATTTTCTCCTGTATAGTGGAAGCAGTTTACAAACATCCAGACCCGGAACAACTATTTGTAGGCCATACAAATTTTTTTTTTCTTATTTAAAAAACGTTACACCCACACTAGGAGTTTCTCCTGTATCGTGGAGGCAGTTTACAAACATAAATTGCACAAGGACAAACATCCAGACCCGGAAGAATTATTTGTAGGCCATACAAATACTTGTTCCGTGCGGGATTCGAACCCGCGGCTCCCAGTAATATAAAATATTTCGTTCCCGTGGGATAATTTTTGCAGTTACACACGTTCGAAGCCGAACTCTTGAGTGATCGCTGCATAACCACTCGGAAAAACTAAACATAATAAAATAAGCAATCTATATTAGGTATATAGAGCCACAGAGGTATAATATGAAGCGATAAAGCAGCGCCTAATCATTTCGCGGTTTCACCCGCGTCATCATGTGTCCGAGATGCATGGCATGACATGACACCTAGTTTTATAATTGCAATCAAATATTTTATTTGATAATAATGTATGGAAAAATTGTCATAATTAATGAAGTACTTTTATTTTATCTGTCGGCATACTATGCGCGGTTTTATTCAGTTTTAAAGAAAAACGTACACGATACATGAAAAGTGTGTAGGCAAGAAATGATTCTTGATACATTTGCTATCAACCTCTTATACTCTTATACGGCTCCGTGGCGCAGTGTCTTAGCAATGAGTTGCTGAGCAGGGGGCCGCGGGTTCGAATCCCGCACGGATCAAGTATTTGTATTTGTATGGCCTACAAATAATTGTTCCGGGTCTGGATGTTTGTCCTTGTGCAATTTGTGTTTGTAAACTGCCTCCACGATACACGAGAAAATCCTAGTGTGGGGGTAACGTCTTTTTTTTTAAAGAAATAAATAAAATAAAAACTTATTAATCAATTAAACTTTCAAAATACCATAGCAACGTGAAATGAAAGAGTTCAGAATTAACTAATCATTGTTACGCTCACCTGGGAGATAGATAAAAGCACTCAATTAATTTTGAATTTATTTTAGCTACCAGCTGTTCCCCGCGACTTCGTCCGCATTTAGTTTAGGGTGTTAATTTTGTTGCACGGACGCCTAATAATTTTTCTAAAATTTAAGCATTCTAAGTTACTACTTATAACATGAGCTATCTACTAGTGAAAGTCCCGTCAAAATCGGTCCAGCCGTTTTGGAAATTAACCGGAACAAACAGACAGACAGACAGAAAAATGTTAAAAATTGTGTTATAAGTAGCGTATATAATTTCATATGCAATTAGTAAAAAGCTGTTATTTTGACATTATAACAGACACTTCAATTTTATTTATTTGTGTAGATATAGATAATGATTGAACTAACGGCTAACCTAACCTCGCTCATAGAAGCTTTCAATACTGGCTTCTCAGTTCGCACCGGGCTAGGGGTTATGCGTTGTTTGCGCGTCAAGGCCAAGTATTGAATTATTTTAATTTTACATTATCTCAACTATGTACTATATAAACATGGCATAAACAACGAAGTTTATCTTCAAAAAATTGTCTTGATAATGAAGTAACTTTCGTTCGTAAGGATAAATATGCCATGCCTAATAATTAAATTTTCATTTTTTTTTTGTCAAAATAAAAATGCCTAATTGTGGCTTATACGAGTATATAAAAAATAGACATATGGTATCGCGGACTTTTTTTTAGACGGAGTAAAGATCTATATTTTCTGCTTTATTATATTAGTATAAATGTTGCATCGTGTTCGTGTAACTTCGTTTTTGTTCAAACGGTTCTGAATGCCGTACGAACAAGACGTGCGTGAATACTAGTGTCGATATGCTCATCACTGATACTATCTCTGTCGGGCACGATGCCAGGTGAGACAGCGTGCTTTTTGGCCGCGCCCACCAGCGAGTTCGAGCCCGCGACTTGTGCCACCTTAAGAGGCAGATTCATTATAACTGAAATAACGTACCTTTCAAATGTTGAAAGATTTTTTCCAAATATGTGGAGTGTTTTCGGTGATTACTCTCTACGCATACACAAACTCACAAAATTCACACTCTCTTTACATAATATTAGTATAGACGATTTGAGGTATAACCATTTTAATTTGTGAGCCTATGGTACTAGGAAAGACCTGTGTGATTAATCACCAGACTGCCCTTAATTTAACATTTAACCTAGATCTACCTAGATATTTAACCTGTAACTTTAGGTACACTTCGTGCGACTATATGATTTGTAATCTTTTAACATTTGAGTGATATAGCATATATATATATATATATATATATAGCAGTCCACCCGATATTAAATGATCAGCTCAGCTCAAAGACGTCAACAATTAACACCAAACAAGTAAGACTAAAGATTCTGTGTGAGTGTTGTTCTGTAGGGTTGTAGAGAGAATTTGGGAATGTGCCGACTTTTTTCTTCAAATGTCAACCTCAGCAGCACGCGGTTTTGATACAACATTGTCGGATGAATTTCAAGCGATGGACTAAGCCATGGATGTTATAAGACGTGAGCACCGGAAATTATTATGGTTTTCGATAGATGGCGTTATTAACATCTTAATACACCGAACATATAATACCCAGATCGGTGAAAGTAAACAGCGTCAAAGATGCGAGAGATCTAGTACTACGATCGTCAATTCGCAGCCAAGCGTGACGATTAAGACATATTTTCCTAATATCGGGAGATGATGATGATGACTATCATATAGCTCTTTATTGGAAAAACCTTTGTTCAAACGTAGACTTCAAAAGGCTGTTGATATGATATGATGTAATCTTTGTAATTCTATAGTAGATTTTGAAAAAAAAATAGATTTTACAAACGAAATTGTATTTTCTTACATCGAATTTTCATCATAATCATCATCATTACAGCCCTTTATAAATCCACTGCTGAACATAGACCTCCGCAAAGGAAAATAGGCCACAACACACGGTTCTGAGCCATGATCCATCGTCTTCCTGCTTTTCTTACCAGGTAGTCACTCCAACTACGTCGAATAAATCAATATATTTAATTTCATTTCTTTTTATCCATAACCAAAACAATACATGCAACCGACTGGCTGGAACTAAAAATTCTATTCTTATTATTATTACCTGGATAAAGCCAATCTCCTAGTGGTAGTTTGGCTCTTACTTCAACAACGCCATAAGTAAAGGCAAAGGTTTTGCTGGTGATCCGACCACTTACGACTGGTGGCAGAATACTGGCGCCCCATGCTCTAACTCTACAAGCTTCTGCCGTCCTGGTACACCTAAAAATTCAGTTTTGTTTACATTTTAACAATTTAGTTTTATTATCTAGACATATCGAGTGTCGTGCAGTTACACAGACAATTGGAAGGGAGAGCTAAATTGGCCTTTATAAAGCTTGGTGTGCTTCATGCCGGTCCACCGCTTGCAACTTTACAAAGCGCAGGTTTGGCGACGCGAGGTAAATCGTACTTATACTGTGGCAGAAATCCAAATTACATCTAGTGCTACTGCCAACCATGGGTATTATGTTAACTTAATGGCTGGCAGTCTACTACTGTGCAATTTACAAGGAATTAATGCCACGCATGATCACATTTTGGAACTTACTGTCGCAGGAGTTTTTCCGGACTGAAACGACTTAGAAACCTTCAATAAAGGAGCCTACTCTTTTGTTAAAGACTGGCGATAGTATTATACTATCAGGTAAGTTGTATGGTTGTTTGTCTCTCCTTCTATAAAAATAAACATCTTATCAATATTGTTTGCTAGTTTCCCTTAGATTAGCGCGTGTAAGATTTATATCCCGGTACCAAGGGATATAAATCTTTTTAAAATATAATGACCTGATAACTGCATTTCTTCATCATCAAGTCACAGTTCACTACTAAATACAGTTATCTCTCGTTGTATAATCGCTATAATCACTATGATTGGTAGACGCATTGACTATCAGAGTATAATAGGCAGATATTGTATAGTTATAGTATATAGACCTATCATAATTCACTGAAATTGACTATGTCCTGTCGAACTCTATATAGTTTTCTCATCCATTTTTAATTGCATTTAACACTTCCTTTTTTCTACACTCCTCATTATTATGTACTATTATTTACTTATAATATAATATTTCGATATTTCGATACATATCAAAAGACGTATATAATGAAATAATTACCCACTAAACAGATTTAAAGTGCCCGAATACAATGACTCATTGTTGAAGCCGGGCTGTTCTTGTTGCAGTTTTGGCTCAATACGCAAATAACCATTCTCTACTGACACCGTTTGAGCATTTGGAGGTCGCTGATAGGATACAAATGGATATTCCTGAAAGAAATTAAAAGTATTAAATTTTTTGGTTGTATATTACGCGATATTTTCGCCGATTATGAAATTATTTTAATGATTTTTTTGTTGAAGAGGCTATACCTAGAAGGATGCTAGAAATCTAGAAACTACATTCTAATTTAAAGGGTGCTACCATTTAAATCAGAAGACAATAAAAAAGAACAAAATTTTTTCATAGTTATATAACTATCCGCTTGGGTGAAAAAAATGAATGCAGATAGACAGAGGTTACACGCTCATTCTGGCGTCAGTTCAATCCATCATTGATGTCAGAATAACGGGAAACTGACTGTATACGCGTAGAATGATGGATTGATGGTCCAGAATGATGATTATTTAAATATTTTAAAAATTTTTGTCAGTCTGGTCAGACTGATCCCAGACTGAGCGTGTATTTAATAGCTATCAGTCTGGTGTCAGTCACCGATTAGACAGCTATCGAGTCGCACGCCGTGTCACCGCGTGCGCCGACTCACTAGCCCCGGAGAAATATTTTTTCCAACATTTTTTAAACGTTACCCTTACACTAGGATTTATTCTAGGAGGGAGTTTACAAATATAAATTGCACAAAGACAAACATCCAGACCCGGAAAAATATTTGCAGGCCATACAAATACTCGTTCACTTTACTCTTCCGTCACTTTAGAAGTTTTACCTGTTAATTGGGATAAAACGAATAACCAACAATAAATGTAAGAGAAACGAGGCGCTGCAGAAACTATTAGTAATTTTGAAAAAATTAAAACCCCAAGCTATTGTAGAAGACGTGAAAAATAATATTAATACCCTAAGATCAAACTATCGCCGTGAATTCTTTAATTTTTCCTTTAATTTTTTCTTGTTAAAATCCATGCCTAATGCGTATGCGTGTCATCGCGTAGAAGTTTTCGGATGGACTGATCGTCAGTCTGAATTACCATCTAATATCTCCCGTCAATCCATCATTCAGCCATCAGTCTATACGTGATCAAGGTCACAGACTGAACTGACGCCAAACTTAACGTGTAACCTCCGTATTACATATATGAATTGCATTCATTTTTTTCGCCCAAGCGGATAGTTATATAACTATATAGCCATCATTCTTTTATCAAAACTGCGATTGCCAATACGCCAGCCCAGCGTGGCAACTGTGGCAAATATGATGCAATCTATAATGCAAACGTAATTTTTTAGAACGTAGTAAAACAAACACAAAATGGGCAGCAGCATTTTCCTGATACCAACTCTAAAATAATAAAAAACTGCAGTTGGCAAAACACTTGCCAAACGTAGCAAAAGCCTAATATGTGACAATATATGGGGGAGGTCGAGCACTGAAAGTAGCATTAACTTTGAAATGGCATAACGTAGTCTGCTAGATTATCGTTTAGGTTCTTTTTTTCGATAGTAATCATTCTACAAGTTGGTGGTTGAAGGTATCTAGCTTACATACTTACAGGTTGATCAGGTATATATTGTTCAATTTGCCACAAGTCTTCGCGAAGGCTGTCAAAATTGTCTTCAAATATTGTCTGACCAGCGCATGCGGTTCCGATGCGCACCACAGTGGCAGTAGGTCTACAGTCCGTTTGCACTGGCGCTTGGCTATTGACATCAACTAGTTCTAAAAGTTTATTGAAATAACATGAATGCATTTTCAGCATATCAACAATAACTATGCTCATATTTTCGATATGTTAGGACTCTGTTAATGCATTCCGCATACAGACATATAATTTAAAGCTTGATATTTCAAATACTGAACTAAATTGCTAACACAAATAATGTAACCCCAATTTTTAAATGGAAATTCAAAAAAAATGTTTCATAGCCCTTGCCATGTATGTCGCATGCCATAAATACCGTATATATACCGCATATATCCCGTGTATAGTCTATTAAAAACACGTATGACTGAGGTAAAGTAAGAGAGGATCACATTGTGTAAAGCAAGGTGATGGGTTTCCGCATGCTGAATATTGACTGGCGTGGTTTCATTGGTCATTAACCCGTCTATAGGGAATCCCCGCACGGAGTATTGACTACGTTATTGACCTGCTAATTTCACTATTTGCTAACCCGCTTGCGAGAAGTTCCCACTTCAGGAAAGTCCCTGCATGTGGGAATTTTCCTTATGCTATGTATCAGCCGAGTAAAAGACCAATGAAAGTGAGCCCATGAAGTCTCGAAATGTGTAACGTACCTGTTACTGTAAAGCTAAGATTATCCTTTAAATATCCTTTCCGGTCGTATACAGCGAAAACGTAGTAATAAATGACGTCACCGACCTTTAACTGTATATTAGGATCTTCGTAGATCCACTTGCCATTAGTTGCAGCAGTCACTTCTCCAGAAATATCGCCAACATCAGTTTGTGTTATAGCTTTATTTATTCTTCCTTGAAAAGCGAATAGGCTTAACTTTGGTGTATCTGAAATAACAAATTTAAATAAGACTTAAAAACTTGTATATACATTTACCATATTTTTGTTGATATAAAGCGGTGGCTGAATCAAAATTTAGATGCGTTGTCACCTCTGAGGACTAAGATGTAATTTCTCGTTACTGGGAAAAAGTCTCCGGTTCTTTACACTCACAATACGAAACAAATCATCATTAAGCTATAATTTTGCGCTGGTATTCATTTAGAAAGTGATCCTGGTCATTTCCAGACCGAGCCGACTGCTGCAACCATAAATTGCAACTTGGATCTACCACTTTCTTTCATAAACTATATTTTTTTATTTAGTTTAACTAAAAATAATATTTTGCTAAAGCATTATTAAAGTGACGCTAAATTTGATTGTGGAATTGATTGGAATATGTAACCAACATTGACATTGCCATGATATCAATAAAATAAGAAATGACGTGCTTGTTTAACCTCTTTCAGTTTAACAGGTTACAATCAAAACAATTTGTGTTCATTGTACTAAAATGTATTTGAAACGATCGAGAAAACTCGACTTGATATGGATATATTGACATTTAATCCAATATTTGTCAATGAAATGTAATCTTGTTAGAATAAAACGAATTATGTTACGACGTTGCTAATTCTAATTTAAATATTCTCATATTTGTGGGATTTAAATTCGGAAGCCGGTTTTTTCCTTTTGACAACTTTTTTTTAAAACATTTTCCTGTTTGTGTATATTGTACCTATTTCATCCCTCAACTGAAAAATACGCTTATAATGGTTAATAATGGCTTTTGTTCCGTAATTCTTCAATCTTTATGTACTCGATGTCTTTCTCTCTCTCATTCTCTTTTCCCTCTTTCTCTATTGCATGCCTTAAGCGTAAAGCGCGTAGGTATGTTCTACTAGCACCTAAAAATCAAGATTCCAACGTTTTGTAGCATAAAATCGTATCTAATAATCATATTTAGCACATTGTCAGAAAGATAAATGATTGTTGAACTTATTAATATTTTTTTTAAATCGATTAATTGCTATTTTTACATAAAATAGTGGTTTTAGTGGCTTATGGTGTAGATTTATCAAGTCCGCATGGAGTGGTAAGCACGATAACTTTTGAAAATATCCATTGCTTAACTCAATCTATTTTTAATCTCTTCATCTGTCATCTGGGAAGCCATGGAACGTAAATGGCAGTTTAATTTTGTTTTGTTTAGTTATAGTTAATTTTTTTCGACTACAAAATGTTGATATTTTCGGTGTCTTAAGCCGCGTATCCACCAAAAATGTTGACAACAGTTTTTTTTATAGGATAGGGTGACAAACGAGCACACAGTCCATCTGATGGTAAGTGGTTACTGTGACCCATAGACATCTACATCTATCCTCAATAAAGACTCAAGATGCAGATGCGTTGTCACCCGTGAGGACTAAGATGGAATGCCTCTTTGCCAGTAAAAAAGGGTCTCCGGTTCTCTACACTCACCATACGAAACACAACAGTGTTAAGCTGCTATTTTACGCTGGTATTCTGTGAGAGCGTGGTCCTTCCCCGGTCGAGCCGACCCATTCGTGCTACAACTATACTACTAATATAGCTGCAGCATGGCTCCACCACGTGGATGTTATGTTATGTTTCCAACTGTTTACAACTGTTTCCAAAAAGCGTCTCCACCGAGGGAACAAATGTTGGCAACAAGCGTATTCCTTTGATGTTCCGCCGAAAATGGAAACAAGTTTTTTGGCAACTGTTGTGTTGGCAACACGTGTTGGTAACAAATGTTTCTGTAATTACCTAGTGTTGGCAACAAAACTTGAAACAATTTCGGGAACCGTGTTTCCATTTTCAGCGGCAACATCAAAGGAATACGATTGTTCCAAACATTTGTTCCCTCTGTGGAGACGCTTGTTGGAAACATTTGTCGGCAACATATCTGTCACGTGGAGAACCAGTTAATCGACACATTAATTAATTTACATCGTTCACAAAATATATTATGGTATGTGTGTAATCAAAATTATATTATTATTTATAAGCAGATCTAGATAATTAGGTAATCAGTTACTGACGCCATAGTTACAGATTTATTATTTGATTTTTCGATTTTTTTCGCGTATAATGCCAATGACCTTAAAAAGTCGTTCAGTGTAAGTAGACCTCCCAGTACTGCCCACTAATGCAAGATCAGCATACACTGGTTATATGTTTAATACTTCTCCTTGCCACTCTTTCATCAATAATAAAGTCGCGTATCGCATGTTTGTAAATAGCTAAAAATGTTAAACAGACAAGTGACGGCTCCGTGACGCAGTGGTTTAGTAATGAGTTGCAGCGCTAAGGCCCGCGGGTTCGAATCCCGGACGGAACAAGTAGTTGTATGGCCCTAGGTCTGTTCTATGTATGTAAACTGTCCCTGCGATACAGGAGAAAATCCTAGTGTGGAGGTAACGTTTTTTTAAAAAGAGAGGAAGAGAGACAACTAATGAAATAAATAATTTTGCCTATAACTGATTTCAATATTAATACGGATTATTAAGGATAACTCCAAAGCATAAAATTATAAATACTGCGGCCGCCTGCATAATATCGTCACATGAAGACATATTGTTGCCAACAAAACTTTGGTGGAGACAGCAAGTTGTCATATAAATGTTTCAAAATGTTGGCGACATGTTTCAATTCGGTGCGGAAACATCGAAAACAAATATTGGTAACTTTTGTTGAGTTGTAAACAGTTGGAAACATAAATGTTGTCAACATTTTTTGGATACGCGGCTTTAGCAGCCTTGTGTGTAATTTATTTTATTAAATAGACTGCTTCCCTCAGTCCGGCGTCAACCACCGTCGTGAGTGGATACTGTATATGTATCGGTTGTTTGCAGCGGCTCAAAAAGATCGCTCTACAAATAACAAATATTCGAAAAACCAAATGTCATACATACTTGATTATTATAATAATCGGAGACTTTTATTACAATATTTTAAAAGCACCAAATAAATAATAGTAGTTTGTACTAAAAGTAAGTGGGATGTATACAGACTTTATGGAGTGACATGATGATATTATGAGTCGTGCACTTTTGGATTTTTCAAATTTTTTTTTTAATTGAAGTTTGGTATAAAATTATTGGAAAATTGGAAGTATAATAAGGTTATTAGTGAATACTTGTGTGTATTTAAACTACTTTAAAAAAATTCCGTATAATCATGTTATAAGTATTTTTTAATGTACTTAGGATATGCACAATTGGATTTACCAATAGTTTTTTTTTTAGTTTTGTTATCGTTTTATTTAATTTAGTTTTATTATTTAAGTACAAATTAGTCGATAGATAATTAAGTTCTAGTAATTTTTTACGGAGTAGTAGCGGTTTTTCATTTTTTAATTGTTAATTGTTATTACGAAGACACTGCTGAGGGAAACAAACGTTACGACACCCACGGGACGATGTGAGGCAGTGGATATTTTTGCTACACTCTATAACATTTTATCCTTTTCCTTTATAATTTATTTCTATAAAACAAAGTTAAAGACTCTGAATTGTTTCTTATATGACCAAAAGTAAAAAATATATCTCAAAATTCTACAAACTAAAGAAAAATTAAGTCATTTAAAGAAGTTCAACAGATAGCTATAAACATCGTCGATGGCGCCATCGTGCAATTTAAATAACGACCCAAGAACAAGTCTTATAGTACTATCTATTCCATCAATATATTGGACATCAGTATGAGCAAAAATATAGCTAATGTACCAACTTAAAATTGAAAAGTTGTAAACAGCGCAGTGTTATATATACATATTTTCCTTAAAGATTGATCATTTTTACTTAAATATTAACAATGAAACAGGTTTACCTTTTATGAATACCCTAAATCCTTTCGGCTTAATCGCCTCGATCGTCACTTTAGGAATCTCATAATCACTTTGCGAACTAACAATTTGTAATAGACATAATATCAATAAACTCAACCAACGTCTTACAGTCACGACAGCCATTTTAGTACTACTTGCGTCTCATTGTGATGACTGATGACCACATTTGACTTCAGATTAAGCAGGTATTACTGTACCGACGCAGTTTCATTGCAAGTTGTTTATTTAAGCTACAAAACTATAACGTTATAATTAACGAAGTTTATTTACTTGGTTAGTAAATTTCAAATCCTACAACAAATCACAGATTAACGTTCGTTCATCATATTTGTTAAGTGTATTTAATAGTTACATTTATAACGATTTCTTATATTTACGCGAACACTACACATTTAAATAAAACTGGTTTTACGGATTTTATCGCGTATATGAACTCATTTTATATTCCAATCAAAATTAAATCTCAACCCAAGCATACAACTGCAAGACTTCAAGATACTGTAAGTTCGTACTGCTTAGATCGGAACAAAAATTAATATTTTTTAATCTGGAGGTAGCCGTGGTTAACTATGACATTGGGAAGTCAAACACCTCATCCCCCCGTCCCCCCTCCCTTTTTAAGCAGAGTTTGTGTCCCAATTAAACCTTTTCGCATGTAACATGTCATTGGCGAATTCATTGTAACCACCATAAAGCAAGAAAGAAGAAGAAGGCCATGGGTGTTATAAAGTACTCAAAACGTCGGGAATATAAAATAAGTTAATATACGCAATAAAATCCGTAAAACTAGTTTTAAGTAACATTTATGTTTTATTTTTCCCTGTAAACCAAATTCTACAAATTGATGATAATTGATACTAAAAAAAACTCGTTATCATATCGATTTTCCTTGTAACCATATTAAACATCAACTACCTACATCGTATCAGAAATGATAATTAATTAAGTTATTAAAAATTATACTAAGCATTATTTTTGTTCTAATAACATAATTTTATGTCCTATTAATAAAGTACATTGAACTCGGTTGATGGCTTTTAATCAGTCGAGTTATACAATGAGCAGAAATTGATAACCTCAGTGTTATTCTTGCAGAATAAGATGACTGGCATTACACGTGACGTAGCGCCGGGGATTTCTTTTTCTTTATCCGATTAATTTTATTGGTTCCTTTCTTATAAATGACACACGTAATTTACACGAACTGGAAATACGCATTACATTATTTCTTGTTTCTCCTAACGCCGTGTTAGCTGTAAAACTGGTTTCCAATCTTTTTTCCTATAGTTTTAAAGTGACAAACGAACCTACAGTCTTCGCAATGGTGATGTTGTGATGATATTGATGATGATGATAGTGAATTCTGCTGACCATAGACACCAGCAACTAACTTCAAACAAAGGAGGCTACAGAGCGTTGTCACAACTGAAGACCAAACATTTAATAGTCTGTAATTATACTGGCTATCTATATTCTTCAGACCGAACCATAGAAGTTCAGTCACTGCTGCTTGGCAGCAAAAACAAGCGAGAGGCTGTGTACTATCACCTAGTATTTCTTAAATTTTGTTGAACGCGAGCAACGTGAATGTCAGACAGAGACAGTGATATGCAAATGGAAGTTAAGTTAGCACTCAAAACCCCCACAAAACATAACACTATCACAAATAGTTTAATATTATATATTAATATGTTTAACAAGTGGCATTCCTTTGGGTAGGTTCAGCAGTGGGCTCGTGATGGATCGTTACGATGATAATAATGATTTAATATTCTAATTTTACTAATATATTAAGTCCACACAAGTCATGGGGAGCAGCTTTTTATGATATAACGTCATCCGAAAGTGCTATCCCAGCGTCTAGTTGTGCTCGCTTCGATCGTAAAGACACCAGTGGACTGATTATAATGATTCACTACTCATCAACAAAATTACGAAAAATAGTAACCGGACTTCCCCTGCTTTTTTTTATAGGATATGGTGACAAACGAGCACACAGTCCACCTGATGGTAAGTGGTTGCTGTGGTCCATAGACATCTACATTTATCCTCGCTTGCGAATCAAAATGCAGATGCGTTGTCACCCGTGAGGACTAAGATGGAATGCCTCTTTTCCAGTAGTAAAAAGGGTCACCGGTTCTCTACACTCACCATACGAAACACAGCATCATCAAGCTGCCATTTTACGCTGGTATTCTGTGAGAGCCCCGGTCGAGTCGACCCATTGGTGCTACAACTATACTACTAATATAGCTGCAGCATGGCTCTACCACGTTGGAAACTTATTACTTACAGTTATGTCTACAAAGTATGAAACAAAGTCGGTTCCGCGAATTTTTTTCGCGAATTTTAAACTACGCAACGGATTTTATTGCCGTTTTCATCAATAGACAGAATGATTTAATAGAAAGGTTTATATGTATCATACATGCATATTATATTCGTGGATACGACTTAATCAATTACATACGTGGTAGAGCCATGCTGCAGCTATATTATGGTTGTAGCGCGAATGGGTCGGCTCGACCGGGGAAGGACCACGCTCTCACAGAAAACCAGCGTAAAATAGCAGCTTAACGCTGCTGTGTTTCGTATGGTGAGTGTAGAGAACCGGAGACCCTTTTTACTGGCAAAGAGGCATTCCATCTTAGTCCTCACGGGTGACAACGCATCTGCATCTTGAGTCTTTATTGAGGATAGATGTAGATGTCTATGGGTCACAGTAACCACTTACCATCAGGTGGACTGTGTGCTCGTTTGTCACCCTATCCTATAAAAAAAAAATAATCACACAAGCACAGTAATTTTGATTAAGTAGTCGAATGTTGTTGTATTAATGCCCAATCGGCTTGTATATGCATTATTGGTGTTCCTTATTATTACCCACCACAAGCCATTAACCACACAAAATTAAACTATACATTTTTTATTTTTTATTATAAATTTTTTTATTATACTACACTATGGTCTAAAGTTTTCCAACTACCGTATTTACCATTCCAAAACAGACCAGTTCGGTCTTATTATAATACGTGGTGATAGTTTTGGGTTTAAGCCAAAGCCTTTGTTCCGAAACAAAGTCACTTTGGTGCGACACCAGTCTTCGAGTAATTTGAGATTAGCTGTCATATCCCATACTTAAAATGTTAAGTTCGCATATTTTCCTTCGGGGCTTCTTTCTTGAAACATACTCTAGCAACCTGAGACCTAAAATATAAACTACTTTACTAATAAGATGATGTAAGTCTTAGACTCTAATTTTTAATCTCAAATCTGTTTATGGTATTGTATTCTAAACCTGTCACAAATTTTAATAACAAAGGTGAACCCATCATAATAAACCTCTATACCATACAGGCAGACACCTTGATGATTTTGTGTTGTTCAATTTTGGTATTTTTTTATAGGATAGGGTGACAAACGAGTAGACAGTCCACCTGATGGTAAGTGGGTGCTGTGGCCCATAAACATCTACATCTATCCTCGTTTGCGAATCAAAATGCAGATGCGTTGTCACCCGTGACGACTAAGATGGAATGCCTCTTTTCCAGTAAAAAGGGTCCCCAGTTCTCTACTCTCACCATACGAAACACATCAGTGTTAAGCTGCTATTTTACGCTGGTATTCTGTGAGATCGTGGTCCTTCCCCGGTCGAGTCGACTCATTCGTGCTACAACTTTACTACTAATATAGCTGCAACATGGCTCTACCACTTAGGAAACGTGAATATGATAAATAATAACCGAACTTTTAGATTAACAAGTTTTCATTCTGATAAATTCTTAATATGTTATTCTTAATCATAAATATAATAATGACTTGCTGTGATTTGTTTATGTAATAACCTTATTCTCATTTACTTACAAATGACATGACTGTAGAAAGAACGCCGCACAAATAGTGATGATTTAATCATCATCATTACTCCTCTGCTGAACATAGGCATCCCCCAAGGAACGCCACAATGCGCGGTCTGAGCCGCCAGCATCCATTTACTTCCTGCATAAGGTCATCTAAATTAGTAAATTCGTTCAACGTTAATAATTTATACGTGATAGAGCCATGTTGCAGCTATATTAATAGTATAGTTGTAGCACGAATGGGTCGGCTCGACCGGGGAAGGACCACACTCTCATAGAATACCAGGGTAAAATAGCAGCTTAATGCTACTGTGTTTCGTATGGCGAGTGTTGAGAACTGGAGACCCATTTTACTGGAAAAGAGGCATTCCATCTTAGTCCTCACGGCTGACAATGCATCTGCATTTTAATTCGCAAACGAAGATAGATGTAGATATCTATAGGCCACAGCATTCACTTACCATCAGGTGGAGTGTGTGCTCGTTAGTCACCCTTATTCTATAAAAAAAAATTGCATTTAAATTGCACTAAAACTAATGGTATGAAATTCATGACTCCAGATGTCAAACATTTAAATAATTAAAAAAATAATTTTTAATGGGGAGAACCTATTTCTATAGCATAATGTCGTATGGTATTTTTCTATGGGAACACGCGACTGACACTGAAATTATATTTTGTTTTGCAGAAGAAGGCCATAAGGGCAATGTATAATTTAATATTATTTAATTTATTATTATTTAATACAACTTAGGGACGCATCTGCAATTCCCCTGATGTTGCGGTTGTTCATGGGCGGCGGTAGTCACTTACCATCAGGTGAGCTACATGTTCGTTTGCCCCCTCTTCTATAAAAAAAACCTAGAGTCGCTCAGACAACAATTTAAGGAAATTAATTTATTAACTTTGACTTCTTAATACATTTATGAAAATGTAATGTATGTAGGGACACAAAAATACTGGTAGTTTAAAAAAAGTGATATTCATACTGTAAATACTAGGAACAGACACAAGCTAGTAGTACCAGATACCAGTTACTCGACTCAACCGAGTCAGTAATTCGTTCTTGGGGTGATGTATACACTTTTACAAGAAAATCCCAGAAAACATACAAAATTTGACCTCCTCAGGGTTCAAACATTTTATTAAATAAAGTTTGTTTAATTAGCGTTATGTTAAGGAGTTTATAGATGATAATAACCCCTGGGAATGAAGTGGCTACCAAGTTATTTCTAATTTGTTTTGTGTTATTAGTTGTATAAC